GTTTTTTGCAGCAAACTGCCTGCACCTGTACTTGTCCCATTAAGGAAGCTGGCTACACCCCAGGCTGCTTCCACTCTGAAAGCTCCAGTATTTCTGACTGGTTCTTTCTTAATGCAAGCAGCAGCTTGAAATCAGCACGATAAATCTGCAAAAAGGGGACTGCCAGTTTTCCTGGGCACTTGAACATCTTGCATTCCTCATGCATCTAAGAGCTCTAATACCCCAAGGCATACGAAGCACTGCAGCACCAGGAACAACCCCCCAGCCAGTTGGTGGATGGCTCTCTGCCATGCTACTCCCATGCTTGCACAGTGCATTAACATGAGAACCCAGAAAATCACATATGCTAATGTCTGCTGAAAAGACTTTTCAGGACCTGAGCTTAATGAGCAAATGGAATCCTGCAGCATCACTGTGGGGAAAACAGTTGCAGAGCACAAGGGATGAAGGAAGACCTCGCGTGCTCTGTCAGAATGAAAGAACACAAGTGGATGGCAAAGGAGGGAATATGGCCAGAAAACCAGCTGTGGTAATTCCTCCTGTCCACCTCAGCTTCAACAGCAAAACCAGTGCAATCAGTGCATGATCTGTGACCCTCTGATGACCCACGGCTCCAGGAAAGCAGTCCCAACCTATTTTGTGATACTTGAGCTGCTGTTCAACTCTCAAGCACCAAGCAGCATAGATGGTACAAGCAGGGTGGCTTCAGGGGCCATACATGTTACTTCTGTAACCACTGCACAGGCACGGAGGCTGCGCTGGCAGATGGAAGGTTTGCCTTTGGGGAGAAACAGGTCAGACATCAGAAAATAAAAATGCAGAAACAGCTGCGTCTTCCCTGCCCAGCAGGCTGGTACTTTGCTCAAACATCCCCTCAGTAATGAAGGCTCAGCTCTGGAGAGCAATTCCCTGCATGTTATGAAACACAAGCTCACCCAGCAGGCTCAGGAGTGCAGCAAGGTCTCTGACCCTACAAGCCTCTGACAAGGGACAGGCCTTGTAGTGAGAAGCAGAAGGCTCGGGATTAACACTGCTTGGGACACACCTCCCAGGGTCTCTCACTGTTGCAAGAGTGCAATTTTCTGAGGGCTCCTTTTCTGCATGCTGTTAATTAAATACTGGAGAAGAACACAGAAATAGTCATATTTTCAGGCAGTTAGTCTGGTCACAGGTACTCACTCAGACTGCACTGGCTCTTTTCATCCCAGTAGAAAACTTCTGTTTGTCTCTCTCCTGAAACCAACATCCTCCCCCTCAGATTCCACATTATTTAGAATCATAGAATAATTTGGGTTGGAAGGGACCTTTAAAGGTCACCTAGTCCAACCCACCCCTGAAATGAGCAGGGACATCTTCAACTAGACTGGAGCCCAATCCAACTTGACTCTGAATGCTTCCTGGGATGGGGCATCCACCACCATTCTGGGAAACCAGTTCTGGTGTTTCAACACCATCACTGTAAAAAATTTCTTCCTTAGATCTAGTCTGGATCTACCTCTTCTGGTTTAAAAACATTGCTCCTTGTCCTATTAAAACAGTAGTTACCACCTTAAGGGACTCAAAGGCCACATTAAGGCCCCTCCAAGAGCCTTCTCCAGACTAAACAACCCCCACTTAAACCAATTCCAGCTAAGGGATAGTGAATAAGAGGGGAAAAGGAGTGATGAAAGCAGAAAAATGACCAAAAATAACAGGCAGGAGCTAGCACAGGTGATCTCTGATACCAGGCTCAACTTAATAATTGAGCTCAGCAACAAAGCCAGAGCATTTCTGTTGGTGTGGCTAACAGTCAGCAACTATGTGCAGTAACAATTTTTTAAGCATACAGAAATCATCAACCATCAATTCCTACACAGGCCACAAAACCTTTTATATCTGAGGTGTTTGCATAGCATTAGATACAATAAATCCACCTCTAAACAAATCGATTGCATGAATTTATATATATATATATAAAAATTCAGAAGCTATAAGGGATCAAAGTTGGGGGTTTTAAGTTACAAACACTATAAAACCTGAGAGATTATAACAGAGGGCATTTTACTAAAGGTATATAAAAGGAAATTGGTTGAGATTGCAGGTGAAGAAAGGTGAGAACATATAAGCCATCCTTCTCACAGTAGAAGGCTGTGAACTTTTTAAAGAACTGCTGGGAGTCCTCAGTGGAGGATATGGTACAGTTGACATACCTTGAGTTTCCAGAGGAAGGGAAGGCAACAGCATAGGCCACTTCATCAAAGCTGATGTGACAACTTGTTTTATCCAAAGAGAAGTCCATGCAGTGCTTTTCCATTTGTCTCACTGATTCCATCCTCCTAACCCAAAGAAATGAGCCAGTTATAATAAATAGCCTGTTTAGAGAAGTTCCATAGGTTTTTACAGTACAATTACAAAAAAATTTAGTAGAGTCTCTTTGTGTACTGGGCTACCTCCTTTAAAGACAACAAAGTTATAAAATATTTAGTGGAAAAAGAAGGTGGCTAAAACATTTAAGGTGAAGGCAATGAGTTATTCAACACTATACTGACAGCCTGCCTAAAAACAGCAGCAGGTGATCTTCTCCAAATAACCCCAGCCAGGTGGCAACTGTGCCAGATGCAGAAGTGTGGTGTGTTATGCTGATAAACCAGGGATGGCTCCATCCCAGCCAGTGGTGTTATAGTCTGTTGGGAGATGGGACAAGAGCAGAGCTGCATCCTGTGGCCAGCTGAAGCAGACAGGAACCTCAATATGGAGACAAAACAGTATTTAGAAGATTAACACCCCTTTTTTTTTCTATGCAGGACTTCAGCCTGGATAGAAAATATCCAGAGACTATATAAGGTAAATAGATAGAAGATAGAGATATAAGATAGAGATATAAAATACACTACAGTGCTTGCAGAAGGCACATAAGATCTTGCCCCCTCCTTCTACACAAATCTTCCCACATGCAAGTCCCAAAACAAATGACACTCTACACTTTGCTGAACCCTTTAGCTTTAAAAGATGAATTCCATGGAGCCTCTAATGCTCCTCTAGGGTATCTTTATTGCTATTGCTACTTCACAACAACTTTAGGTTTCTTTAAAAAATCCCATCAGATGCTAAAGACAAATTCTCTGTTCCTCTCCTGCTGCTCCCAGAAAGCTTTTTGGAGCTCTCTTTTAAAGAGATCAGATGTGTGGGCCTTGGAGTGGAAAAGGGTTGACAGTAGGCAATAAACTTTCTCCCTTGACAGAGAAAATTACCCTCTGCTGGGGCTTTAATTTATGACATGTCTTTCACTAGCAGGTTTTACGGCACAAAGTTGTATCCAGCTTTTCCCACACAGCTATTCCCACCCATTGCACTTATTAACCAGACAGCCTTCTAAATGTTATCTAGCAGCAAGAATCAAGCAGTTGTGTTTTGCACACTGTGTTCCTTCAGCTTGCGCTTTCCTTTCCTCTTTTTCAACATTATCACATTGTGTTCCCTCTCCTTACGTGCTTTCCCTCTTCACAAAGCTCTTTAAACAGCTGCAAAGGGGGAGGGACCACTCTGCTCACGAAAACTCCACTTTGCAGAACGCTTCTGTCAGGTCCTACTGTCTGTCTCTTTTCCGGGCATTTAATACCTCCAAGATTCAGGTTTGCTTTTCCATCTTTTCCTTGTGCATCCCTGACAACAGAGCCTATTGCCTGCTGGCTTGACTGAGGGACAGTAATCCACCTCTCCTTGTTACTGCCATGAGGAAAATGTACACCCTCTTTCTCTTTGTAGTGGGCTCCCTTTGTTTTAACGGTAAGTGACCTTTTCTTTCGGGTACAGTTTCAGAGCAGCAATAGCTTTGGGGGCCAGGAGGCAGGACTGGGATAAAAGCTCACAGACAATTCATAACTATCACCTCAGGAGGTTTTGCAGACTTCGAGAGGACGCATAAAATTGATTATTCTAGTGTTGTTTTGGGCTTGTTTGGTATCTGCAAATGCACTGCGATGGATGTGGACAGACAGTTAAGTTGGATGTAAAATGACAGAACTGTAGGAGATGACAATAATAATCACTAAATGTTATCCCTTTAGATGCTCTCAGGATCATCTGTGATAGGAAAAGCAGATATCGTGCTGAGAGTGAAAAAAATGAGCCATGAACCATAAATAAGGCAGCTCTCATCCCTCTACAATTATTTGCTCAAGTTCCTATATGTCGTGAAGTTCATACTTCCTAATTATTGTTATTAGCACGTACATAGCTTAAATTAAGTTGTAACATATAAATATATGCTAAAAAAAGCAAACATACATTTTCTTCAGTCTGTCAGGATTTCTTCCATGTGTTTTAGCCAACATGGACAGCCTGACAGCAGCAGGAAATAGTGAATTTACCACGGGAGCTTCTTCCCATGGAGAGACTCCAGTGAAGTGTTCTCAGAGAAAGTGGCTGAAATCAAACCAAGACAAAGATCACACATTTCCCATTATTACCTATTCATCCCAGAGTTGCTTTTTTTTCCTTCAATCACTGAAAGGTAACTTTATAAAACATCTGCTTTCTAACAAATGAAGAGTGAGGACCCACTTTAGATTCTTAGTTTATAAAAGCCTTTATTATTTCCTTTTTTTTTTGCATTACTTAAAAAATTAAAAGTCTTTAAACTACAGTAAATTCACTGGTACTTCCACTGGAACAATAAGCATTCCAATTTAGCAGCTGTTGTTCTAAGAGGTCGTGAAAACCTTTTTGCTCAAGAGTATGCTGAAAAGAAACAACATCACAAAGTAATTTTGGAGAAGATAATGGAACTGTCTCATTGCTGCTTCTTGCTTGCTCTTTACTAATTACAGAAGGGAATTTGGTATGTCACTATTGTCCACATAAGTTATTTGTGAGAGAGTAAAGAACTAAAATGACAACACATGCTACAAAATTATTTTTAAACAAATGCTATTTCAACATTTATAACAATAAGTGAAGGCAGAGAAACACAGGAAACATGCCTTATGTTAAATTTTTAAATTTAGTGATAACAGTGGACTTGCCTGTGTTTCTGTATTTGCTTCTTTTCTGTGGAAATCACTCCAGCAAATTTGTCATTACACTGAAAACAAACAACATAACACAGGGTGACGAGTTACTTCACTTTATGCATTTAAATTAGACCATGTAAAAGGGAAAGGGTTTTGTGTCTCCTGCTGTGAGACTGGAAGCATCCTGATGTAATTTTTTTTTAATGGTCATGCTCCCACAGAGAAACCAAACTTACTGAAGAATGTTACTGCAAGTTATGTGGCAACTGCTGTCCTCGTCACAGAGCAGATGTGTGGTGTGTTCAGTGAAGCTGAAATCATTTCCCAGCTCAGGATCCACCCCAGTGTGTTCCCTCTATTACTGCTTTCAGTACACAAAAATACTCCAGCCCCAGATCAGGACTCCTTCCTCACTGCTGTTACAGTCCTTTGCCTAAAACCATCAGTCTTCCCTCTGCAGCATCTGCGGTGATCACTGTTATGTGGGGAAAGAAAAAAACAGTTTGGAGAGAAACTGCACTTTTATTTGTTCCAACTCTGAGAGGAGAAAGAGGAGTTTCTAATGCCTGGCTACTGCCATGAAAGGCACAGAAGGATGAACCTGAATGCCTGGGAATTTTGTTTTCATTAGGTGCCATCTGGTTAATATGTAGATTGTTAATGGAAAATAGATTATAAAACTTATACAAGAACCATTCCTTTCTATTTACATTTTCCTTTCCCTTGACTTTGGCAAGCTCTGAGGCAGGGCACGGCTGACATCTAGTGGTGTGTGACACAGGCAGCTGAGGGAGGTGAGGAGGAGCCCCTTTGACCTTTACTTCTGATTGTTAAATTATAAAGATTGGCATGGGATGCCATTTTACAAAGAATTATTCATTACAGGAATTCCTTCACTAAGAACAGATAATAATTTCTTAAAGGGATTCATTGTTGAACTAATAATTTTTTAGAATTGTGTCTTGTCATTATTCTACATCAAGTTTATGAACAGAGTCAGTACCTCGAAATCTGAGCTGCTCTCGTCAGACATCCAGACCAGACGACCCTCGTTTGATTTGCAGACCAGACAACTGGGATTGCTAAAAGCAGGTTTCAGAGGAAAAACCTAATTACAAATCCAGAATTAGCTTTCTGCAAATATTCTGCAATTTCTACTGCTTCCTCTCTGTTTAGCAAATACTCTCTAGGCTAGAATATTTATGGACAAAGGCAGAAAAACAGTGAAAATATATTTAACAATTCAAAAAAGAACTCAGTCTTTGCTAGCAGCATTCAGTGACCAAATGACAATTTATTTATAGCCATCTGCTTATGTCACTTCCCCATGCAACAGTGGGAAAGTTTGTTAAAAAAACCCAACGAACAAAACCAACATAAAACCCCACCAAACCACACAACATAATAACCAATATTCTCTCTTTAGCTACCACAAGATTTCTAATCTATCCTTATAAACACAGAATGCGGCCCCCTTTTTTTTACAATATCAAATTTAGCTCTTCCTTGAATGCAACACACAAGAAAAATCCAGAATATGGAGCTCAGCAAGAATCAGCATAGCTCTAGTTTGACAAGCTTTTGATTAGGCAGCTTACATTGAGAATAACTGTAATATTAAAATATCACACGGTACAAGGCTTTTGTAATGACTTGCAGGGAGGCACAAAAAGTGTGAATCAAAAAACAAACTGGCCCAACCAACACAGATGCATTCATCCAAATTTGTCTTCCCAAACGGCCTGGGAAGTACTTGGGAAGCCTATTTTGAAGAACAGTGTTATGGTTAAGTATATGTGACAAAATTTGGGCTACCAGTGCTGTAGCATATGCTGGTCTTAAAGGATTTAAATCAGGCCTGGTGTTTCATCTCAGCCTTTCCACAGAGCTTGAGTAAAAGCTGTTCTTAGATGTGAAAGCTCTGTTTGAGAATGTTTCCTTTTACATCTCTCCACTCTCTTACTGGATCAGAAACGAGAAGTTCTTGGGGTATTTTTTTAACCTGAGTTGGATTCAGAAGAACCAAGTTTCAAGAGACTTGCTCACCCCAACAACTTCCAGCCCAGTCCACATGGAAACTAGGCACCTTCTAGAAGTGCACACAAACTTGGACTGCTTATCTGATCCTGGCCTTTGGATATCTGCCTGTCTCTGGATCTCATAGATATGCTCCAACTTAAAAAAAAAACAGAACAAATTAATGTACCACAAATTTAAAATACTTGCATGGGCAATGGTTTTTACTGCTGGAATTGCTCTGGGGAATAATGAAGCAAGAATGCTGTAGGGACACCACCCTCATCTCTGCAATATCTACAGCTGAATTAGGTGACCCTTCCTATGGAAGAATCATTGTATCCATTGGATTAGAACCTGCTTTCAGTAACCCCTGTGTCCATCACAGAACTCGACACACAGCACAGTCTCTCTGGGTCAATTCTGGTGGCAGGATGTTACCAGGACCTCAGTCAGCAGTATTACCATGTGGTCTATAGTGGTTTGAAAAGTCCACTAGAATGGCTCTAAAAAGCACATTCAAGAACATGAGAACAGATTCAGCTCCCTCTGGGGTTGTGCCAGAAGCTGTTCTCCTCCATGGAGAATGTTCAGGATTGTTTGATAGTAACCTGTAGATACTATATTTTGTAATCATTAAACTCCAGCTTTGGCAATCTAAGATTTATGGTATTTGTGCTAGTCCACACAAACTAAGGCTTTTGCTTTCACACAAACTAAGGCTTACATACTGCCTTGAGTTTTCAAATTCTGAAACAGAATCATCAGTAGCTACCAAAGAGTCCTCAGTCATTAAAACATCTTTAAGTATCCTTCAGCTTATCCTCCGTTTTTCCATGTTTAAATCAGTCTTTTAATTTCTACCTGTACCTGCAACTTTGTCTCCTACAGCACTAAAGAGAGAAGTCACAGCTGGACCCCCTGCCTTTGGATCATAGAATAATTCTTCTTCTGCTATTAAAAGGGTGGTGTCTATTTCTAAGTGTAATCCCAAAAGATTACATTACAATTTGAGCATCACATTTTACTGTGAAAAAACCCGAAGGGTTCCAGTTGATCTGCTTTGATCTGTGCTCTGTGAAAGACAATCAGCTTCAGCAGAACAGATATTGGTGCAAACACCACATCCTTCTGCTCACCTAAGCCTACAGTCTCTGGAGAGTCAAAAGCCCTCATTATTCCATGAAGATGATCTGATGCACAGGGATTCTGTGACCCCTCTATCATGTCACTTTGCTCTCCCTTCTATAATCCTGTTGATGCTTTACAGGAAGCACAGCAGCAGACGCTGAAGAAAAGCTGATGAACCACCTCCTGAGTCCTGACAGGTACAACAAGCTAATTCGACCGGCTGTCAACTCCTCCCAGTTGGTGTCCATAGAACTGCAGGTTTCCCTGGCACAGCTCATCAGTGTGGTAAGTTCAAATTAGGCTATGCCTTTTAATTCATTACTACCTGCACAGCACTCTAATAGTCATATTGGTGTTACAGTGTCCCAGCTCTTTTCTCATTTGTATAATACTACTTAATAGGCACAGCCCACACATGCAGTTTACTGGTTTTCTACCTCATAATGCAGCTGCTACAGGGAGATCAATCTATGCCTAAGCAATCAAGGACAGTGGCCAGATCTTCATCCTATAAAACTGCATTGGTCTAAAATTCAAAATCATTCCACTGGTTTCAGTACAGCTACAGTAAGTTACCCCAGGTCAGGATCCAGCCTGGGCTGTGCCCACAATGCTAAACCATCTTCTTCTGCTTCTTTCAAAGAAGAGGTTCAATAGTTTGAAAACAAGCTACAAAGCCAGATCAAAATCTCACACATATAAGCAAAGAAGAGTGGAATGTTGTAAAGAAAAAGGCATATTAGTTCTGGCTGGAATAGCTTAACATGGCTAAAACAATCCTCATCTACGCAACTCCTCGCATTCAATAAAAATTACTTCAGTGGGTCTGAAAGACATTTTCACCCACAAGGTACAAACACATCATTGCCAAGAGAGGTTAGCATTTACTGCACTGGAACAAGAGCCAGCACAGAAGTGGGAATCATTTCCTGACTCAGGGCTCCTATCTGTGCTGCTCTCTCCCTGGGTGACAAAGATACAGATGGCTGCCTCCCTGCCAGAATCCATGTAAGGGCTACTGCCTGCACTGCTGCAAACTTTGAGAGACCTCGAGGATCCAGAGTCTGAAATTCAAGAGGAAATGAGAGAGACACAGATGGAACAAAAGGGAAACTGTACAACAGCTGAGGTTTCATACACACGTGCAGGCTGGATATTACATATATATATATATATATAATATCTAGCCTGTGTGTATATATATACACACAGGCTGGATATTAGATAGATAGATAGATAGACAGACAGATAAAAATGTATTTTATATACATATATGTATATATGTATATAAAATACTCAGCCTCTGTGTGTGTACAGATATATACACAGGATATAATGCCATGTATACCAGGTGACTGGTGGGAGTGCTCCCTCTCTCCTGGAGAATTCCACCTGGACACAGACACACCTCCCTACACACTGCACTACCACCACTGGCACATTGTCCTCAAGATTTCAGATTCTGGGCATAAAACACAAGATGTCCCAGAGGCCCCAGTGATCACAGCCTAAACAGAGCAGATGAATGGGCAGGGATCGAGAACAGCACAGCTCAGTCCCTATCCCTCTGTATCCTCACTCTTCAAGCAGAACACAAAATTAGGCATTTTATAGGCTCTAACAATCCCAAGCATCTTCAGGATCAGAGAATCAACTTGTTTTCCTGCAGAAATCCTTCTGACAAATCTGCTGTAGAGAGATTTCTCTTCTGGACTGCTCTGCAGAGAGACAGCAGTTCCACAGGACAGAGCCTGCCAGCTGAGAGCTCACATGGCAAACCTTACATCAACCTCACACAACCTCGTGGAGGCCCTCCCAGTGGCCAAATGTACCTTCTGTTCTGTAAATCAAAGGTGGAGAAGTGGGGTGGGGGGAGGAAGTCAGCTGGGTAGGGTGGTGGTGATTGTTCCCAAATCACTCCTGCCATAACTGTTCTTGCTAAAAGGCATTTGGAGCTCTGCACTTGTGGGGTTACTATTGGTCATCATCGTGTGTATGAGACTGGCCATCCTACCTGTAGAGAAATGCCTGCCTTGAAACCCACTGAGCAAAGCCATGCTGCACAGTTGGAGACATGCTCAAAACCCCACTGAATAAATCTTGTTGCTGCAGTCAAGTGAAATATTTGAGAGGCCAACTTTTGTCTCCGTTTTTCCCTGCAGAATGAACGGGAGCAGATCATGACTACAAATGTCTGGCTGAACCAGGTAACCAAACCCACAGAGATGTGCCCTTGCAAACCACAAATGCTTTCACTCCATCAAATGATTGTTTTGTTAGGGCTGGTCTGGAAACTCCCATCACTGCTCTACAATTCTTCTCGTAGGAGTGGATTGATTATCGTCTGGCTTGGAAGCCCTCGGACTATGAAGGGATAAAGATGCTGAGAATACCTGCCAAACACATCTGGTTGCCAGACATTGTGCTTTACAATAAGTAAGTACAACTTCTGTAGTTTATGCAGACAATGAACAAAATTTTGACCAAGAAACAAGCACCAGAAACAATGAAGTAGGTCTGATAAAATTATAGAACTGAATTTTGTAACTGTTTGATAGTATCAGCTGTATCTGACCGGGGCACTGGCCTCAAAGATAATTTTAGTAGCTGACAATTTTGGTTTGCTTTGGTTTAAGTCTCTAGCAAAGTTTTGAAGTGGATGTTATAAATTTTGGGGGGGAAAAAGAATCAAAATTTATACTTTCATGATACTTTGAAAACCAATGAATTCACAAACAGATGATGATTTATGAACATATACAGATGGGAAACCCGGGAAGTTTATATATATCTGAGTTAAATCCTTGGAATCCTACAACAAATCAGATTTGATGAACACTTAAAACTAGTGTATTAGTAACAAAATAATTCAGCCAGTGGATTAGGATGTACTGGCTGCTCGAAGCTTGTTCTGGTGAATTGTGCCCGTGCCCTC